GCGAACTATCACAAGGGTCTAGTATTGCCTCAGGAATTTCTGACAGTATGATTTCCTCAGAGTTCCCAACGGCAAGCACGGCACCTCAAATAACTTTTGACATGATTGGTGGACACGAACAACGTATGTCTTTGTTCGTGTTACGACGCAGCGTGTTCCAAAGCTCACAACCGAGTTTTCTGTACAGATGTAAAGACAGTCCAGGAGATGATCAAGCTTGCGCTGCTGTATCCTGAGCTTTCACATGGCGCTGAGCCACTAAAAGGCGTCATGTTTTACGGTCCTCCTGGCAACGGCAAGACTTTGATGGGTACGCATCTATCCTCCATCTTGATGTCACGATCTCCATAACTAATCAAGCGGTTTCCGAATAGCCCGGGCGATTGCGTCCAGTTGCTCCTCCTATCAGATTCCAGTGTCCTTTTTCGAGTGCCATGCGGCTGATGTACATTCAAAGTGGTTTGGTGACTCGGAAAAGCATTTGAAGAAGCTCTTTGATGATGCCAAAGCCAACGAGCCTTCCATCATTTTTTTCGACGAGATTGATGGTGCATGATCTTCAGACCAGCAGTGAGGTCGTGTTGAACGCTCTCTCAATGGTATCACTTTTTTTAGGGGTAGTTCCAGCGCGCTCGTCCGGCGAGAACGCTACGCCGCACAACTCGGTTGTGACGTCCCTCTTGACCATGATGGATGGTCTTGAAAGCCGTGGTATGTCATCACATCGGATGTCGGTCTTTTCTCGCACCCCTCTTCTGACAGATGAAATCGCCAGGTCGTGTTATCGTAATTGGAGCCACAAATCGCCTCGACACACTTGACCCTGCCCTTCTTAGGCCGGGTCGTTTCGACCGCAGGCTGAAATTCTTGCCACCTGACCTGAAAGCTCGCAAAAAGATCATTGCTATTAAAGCCGCGAACTTTAATCTGCCCGACGCACTGCTGGATCAGTTAGCGAGAGACACGGATGGATATAGCGGTGCGGATTTGAAGGCTTTGGCTAGTGATGCTTATTACAAAGCCTTGCGCCGGACCTACCCTCAAATCTACGAAAGGCCCGAGCGTCTAAAGATTGAGCCGACGAAGATCAGGGTCACGGAGCGCGACTTTTATCAGGCTCTGAAAGGTAATGCTTTCATGATTTTAGTCACCGTAGTCAGCATTGCGGAAGTTCTAACATTGCAGCTATTCCTTGAACAGATATCAAGCCAAGCGCAAGCGCCTCAGATACTGCCGCCAAGCCACCATCGCGTCAGATGCATTTGTTACTTTCAGAGGCTTGCGACGAAATGGCGGCGCGATCATCTGCAGTCTGGCGAGCGATGACGCGGAGAACGACAAATGCTAGCAGCAGTACACTTCAGCCGCGAATTTTGATTCAAGGCCCCCCAAATATGGGTCAAATTCAGACTGCCTGCGCTGCAACGAATGATCTTTCCGAGCGCGGATTCCGGCTCGAGACCATTCGGCGATCCACGGACTTGGAGGTAAAGCTTGCTGATGTTATTGATGAATTAGTGACCATCTTGTAACTAACGTTTTTCGCGGCAGCTTATGGATGTCAGCATCCCCGACGCCATCAATGCGCTGCAGCTTGAGTCATTGCCAGCCATATTCATCCCATCCATCGAGATGTGGTCTGCTGAGGCAGTTGTGTGCCTAGAGCAGCAGCTCGCCACTGCTGGTCACGCAATTCTCGTGCTTATGACCTGGGAAAAAGCGGGCCCTCTCCCGTCACACATGCATCAGTTTGTGATGGGTGAAGACGACGACATGAACGGCGTTCTGGGGTACCGGAGCATAATCGAACTAACCACGCCGACCTTGGTGGGTATTGCGATTTTGGTCAAAACCGTCGGCTGTGGGTCTGCTTACACTCCTGCTTCCCGCTTAGGCCAAACGCGCTGCGTTTTTTGCGCCGCTACTGGCATCCCTCGCTACACCTCCCGATCCCGCATCCTTGACAACACCACCCACCGCGCTCGAGAATCTGGAGCTTGCACCAGAAGACCCCGGCATGCTAGTATTGAATTTCGAACAGCGACTCGCGTTTGAAACACGATGCGAGCACGCACGGCAAGATCTTCGGCGCCATTTGCGTAACTTCCACAACGTTGCTACCAAACGCTTCCGCGCGCTCTGCAGGCCCGTTGACCTGGTAGAGTATCCAGACTATATGGATTATGTGTCCCATCCAATCGACTTGGGGCTTGTTATGGAAAAGACCGATATGGGATTGTATGAGACGCTTGAAGACTGGCTCGAGGACGTCCGGCTCATTGCGAATAATGTGCGCTTGTACAATGAGCCGCGATCTGATATAGTCCGGAAGGTAGGGAATCCGCTTTGTAACTGCAGCGTTTGCGGAAGAGGCATTGACAACTGACTTTCGGTCCGTTTGTTACAGTCGTTTGAATTTGACGACGCGGTAAATGAATTTGTCGACAGCGTACCTCCCGTAAACCGTCTGAACTATATCCAAGCTGCCGTATGGGCGCGTGCCTATAAAGCACCTGTCCGCGCAGAGCCGCAGGTTAACGCTGATAACAATACTTCTTCGACGATGCGTCGCAAAATACGTCCAAGGCGGCGCAAGCGGCGGCGATTAACCATTGAGCAAGACGATGATGACGATGAGGGCCACGATGTACGTGGCGGAAACGTTCAAGAGGAAAACGGTGTTGTAGGACCGTCTGTTTACGAAAACGGCACGCAGGATGCCGCAGAAAACGGAGACTCGGCGAGATATGCGCAAGATGCGGAAGATGCTGAACACGCAGATGCCGAGGCGGATGCGGAGGGAGAAACTGACGCGGAAGAAGTGGATGCTGCGCAAGACGCTGAAGACGCTGAAGTTGAGGAGGAGGAAGGAGTGGAAGCAGTGGACATCTCCGAAGACGAGGAAGAGGAAGCGGCGGAGGTAGAGGTGAATGTTACTGAAGATGAGGAAGATGGTGATGAAGTGGAAGACGTCGAAGATGAGGAGGAGGCGGAAGCTGCGGCAGAAGCGAGCGAGGAGGATGAGGAGGAGGAGGAGGACGCAATGGATGTGGACGAAGAAGAGAACGGGGAGGAGGTGGATCTCGATGAATCCCCAGAATCTGCGGAGCCTCCAGAGTCTGATGCCGAGCCCGAGTCCGACCAGGAATCGGATGACGAGCAAACGGCTGATTGGCAGAAAGCGACAGCTACTCATGAGCGCCACACTCCCGATCCGGTGAACCCACCAGCGTCGCCATTGCACGGCGATAGCGCCTCTTACACGCAAGACTCGGATTCGCCATCTCCGAACCGTTTACCTGCTCGAGAGCCAGCGTTGTCGTCTGCAACGCTTTCTCCCACGCGGCTTTTTGCCAGCACTTGTACTGAACCACACCCTCGGGCAAAGAGCCTTTCGGCAGAGACTGTCCACAACATTGAGAAGCGACTTTTGGCCGTTACCGAGACTATGAACGTGCGAAATTTGGAAATCCTGTACCAAGATCTGGAAGGCGAGATAGAAGCTGGCGAGGGAGAGGAGGACCGGACTGTTGTCGCCAAGGTGGGGTTTGGCAAGTCATATATGATGTGCCAAGTTATGATATGGCGCTTAACACTCTGTTCTGTTCTCAGGCCGTGACGGACAAGATTGAGCTGTGCGAGCGGCGATTTGGAAGACACCGCCGCTGACCAACAGATTTAGCTGTTGTGCATAGTGTGAATGTTTACTGAATTTTTGGCATTTGAACGTATATAAAAAGCGATCTACATGGGTGGGGTCTACACTACTTCGTCGCCTGGCGAGCCCGCACAGTCCGCTCCATAGTCTTCTGCAAGCTCCACTGTGCCGCCCACCTGCTTAAACAAGTGCAGACTAGTATTGTTGAATACATCTGGCACCTCATAAACTTTCGGAAATGGCACCTCTTCCACCAAGTCGCCAGCAGCAAGTAGATATGGTGCTTGATTCCGCTTGTCGCGCGCCTGTAGCAGCGTGTCGTACGCTGCAAAGCTGTTTCCAACAACCAGAATTGTTGGCAGGGATGCCCAGTTGGAACGGAGAACGGCATCATAAAGGATGTGGCCGCAGTGCGGCATATAGAACAGCGTATGTGCGGTGACAGATCGGGCGCCGCGCTGTGGAGGAGACGCAGAAAGGCCCAGCCTGCTTTAACTCTCCCCGACCCCTCGTAAGAGCAGTCCCCGTCGTCATTTTATTTACCTCGTTTTCAGCGATCATTGAGCAGCCAAAATGTAGCATAACTGGCCGGTCGATGTCTGACATGACTGGATCAAAAATATCGAAACTGCCAGCAAACTACTGTCACCAGAGTCAGGTACAGTGTTTATTTGCATCGCTTTTGACGACTGCATAGTGACATTGTGGTTCCGAGTTACCTCCAAATCCTCACGTAACAGCAATATCAGCGCGAATTGGTGTTGTGAGCTTTGAGCGGTCATTGAGCCAACGCCATAGCACACCACATCTATTGCAGCCGCTGGCGGATCGCGGAATGCGCCAATGCGTGCTTGAAGATTTTCTGCAACGCCCAATCAAAACTCGTTAGCCTTTTGGATTTGCAGCATCCGGTAAACAAGTAGCCGGGCTGCTGTACCTTTCAAAGCAGCATAGAACTTGGAGGCTTGTATTGACTTTCTGCAAAGCTGCCCGCATCAGCTACCGGCCGGCCGCTAGCACCTCCTCCGTATGCGACGCATACGCACGTACTTTCGAAAAGATATTTCGGCTATGAGGTTTGCAGCTGTAACTGTCTTGCCAGCAGCCTTTCCGCTCGGAGCAGACCTGCGGTATTGAAATTGTGCTTGTGCCGCTTTTGAGCGGCGTTCTACCGGACGAGGAGCAGGCTTGCGACGACCGGCCCGTCCAGGTTTATACAACGTGAAGCCGTCGTCTTCCATTTGCGAGGAAATTACTCCAAAAAAAGGCTGAACGTGCGCTACCAGCTCGTTTCGCCGCGCACATTCCGCGAGTCCGAAAAGACAAAAACAAAAATGCGCTGTGAGCGATACGAGATTCGAACTCGCAACCTTCCGATCTGGAGTCGGACGCGCTGCCGTTGCGCCAATCGCTCTTTTGTGTCTTTTCCTTGGAGTGGACGCCTGCCTTTGCGCCAATCGCTCATGGATATCATTCTTGGAGAGTCGGCGCTTGCCGTTGCGCCAATCGCTCTTTTGTGTCTTTTCCTTGGAGTGGACGCCTGCCGTTGCGCCAATCGCTCATGGATATCCTTCTTGGAGAGTCGGCGCTTGCCGTTGCGCTCTTTTGTGCCTTTTCCTAGCGCACCCTTAGTTACTCGAGCGCTGATGCGTGTGATTGCCAGCGCACGAAGAGATCCCAATGAGCGCCAAACGGCAAATGCGCATGCGGTCGGTGGGATCTGTTCGCGCGCTGGCAATCACACGCATCAGCGCTCGAGTAAACTGAGGGTGCGCTTGTATCTCATCGTAGATGATGGTGGCTCCCGTAGCAAACACGGACTTTAAGGTGGATTTGAATAGCTCGCGCCCGTTGCTATCGTCGCAATCTTCGGGCCACGCTGGGATGCTTGGGTCTTTTTCGCGCAGAGCGTTGACAAAAGATCGATAGAGGTAGGCCTTGCGCGGCGGACCGGTTAACAGCTCTTGTGAAACCTTTTCGTCGACGGTTTTTTTGAAGGAGAAATAAAAAATCACGCTGTCCTCCGTCAGCGCGTCCTCATTCGCCAGAAGTGTCTCCAATCCCCCAGACTGGCGAACTGGCCAGAGGGAATGAGGCCCGAGGCGACCAGCTTGTCCTCAAAGCGCGCAGTGTGTTGAGGCGACGTAGTTGCGTCAACGGCCGAGGAAGACATTGAAGCCAAGGTCTATTGTGTATGGGTTAACGCGCGCTACACGGAAGAAGGGGCCAGCTGAGGAAACGCGGAAACCGACAGGCGACCGACGTCCGGGTGTTCGGACAACACGTTTGGGCGCTTTTGAACGATATAGTTCACGCCACGTTCATTCGCCACACGCTTTCAGCATGTCGACCTCTTATCATGGCACCTTTATCCACGCCGTGGCTCCATCCCATATTGAGATCCTACCGGCGACTACGGTGGTGGTATCCGACGTCGGCATCATAACGCATATTGTGAGAGGAGAGCTAAATTCTCTTCCCCCCAAAGTCCGTGAACTGGCGCCCTCGCCCATAATTCTTGGCGACAACGAGTTTTTCATTCCCGGCTTCGTTGACACGCATGTACACGCTCCACAATATGCCTATGCCGGCGCCGGCACCCACGTCCCATTGATGACCTGGCTGACCGAGTATGCGTTCCCTACCGAAGTCAAGATGAGAGATCTTGACTACGCGCATGAAGTCTACTCCAAACTAGTTGATCGGATGGTTGCCAACGGGACGACGACTGCGTTATACTTTGCTACTATTGACGTCGATCCCTGCATTCGATTTGCCAAAATCTTGCAAGAAAAAGGTCAGCGTGCTTTCGTCGGAAAAGTGTGTATGGACCGCAACGCGCCGCCAGAGTACGTGGAAACGACCGCCGAGTCGTTGAGCAGGACTGAGGAATTCTTTACCGCCGTTGCAGCTTTGCAGACGGACTTGATCGAAGCGGTCGTCACACCACGCTTTATACCCACATGCACGCCCGAGCTTCTGCGCGGGCTGGGCGAGCTGGCCGAGCGCCACGGTGCTCGTGTGCAGTCACATTTGTCCGAGAGCCGCGACGAGGTCGCGTTTGTCGAGGCGCTACACCCGGGTGAAGGATCTGACAGCGAAATTTTTGCCGCAGCGGGTCTATTGACTTCAAAGACTGTCATGGCTCACTCGATATACCTGTCCGACAATGACGAGCAGCTTCTCCGCGCCCGCGGATGCGGTCTCGCTGTATGCCCGATGAGCAACTACTTTTTCGCGGGCAGCACGTTCCCAATACGTGAGCGCATGGACAAGGGACTGAAATGCGGATTGGGGACAGATGTCGCGGGCGGATACTCGCCCTCAATGCTCCAAAATATCCGCGCGCTGGTGCTCGCGTCGCGAGGCAGAAACCACTACGATTCGACAGCGTTGATCGCGGATTACAAGTGCGGATTCTACGTGGCGACGCGAGGCGGTGCGGCTGCGCTGGGACTCGAAGGCGTAGTTGGCGGGTTTGCTGTTGGCATGCAGTTTGATGCGTTGCGGATCAAGGTTGGCGGGCCTTCGAACCCGGTGGACGTTTTTCCGGGCGATGACTGGGAGCGCAAGTTTGAGAAGTTTGTTAACCTGGGCGATGAGCGGTCGATCAAGGGTGTATGGGTCAAGGGCCGGCAGATAGCATAAATAGTCATTCGATTGCTTTCGAAGAAAAGGTTCATAGATAGCATACTAGTAGAGTTGATACCGTCGGTAGCGAAAGATTCGGTGATCTGTCAGAGTCGAGACTTGCTGCGCCCTCCGAGGTTTGGCGGGCGCCTCGTAGCGGAGTCATCGTTCACAACGCAAGGTTGTGAGGCTGACGCTCTCTCCACTGCAGCCTTCTTTCTAAAACATGCCCAAATTAGACGCCAATGGCTACGAGATGGTTGAGATGCGGAATCCAGAGTCGCTAGCAACTCTATGTCTGAAGCAAATTGATCGCCGTTTACATAGTGGGTCAACGGTTTCGCTGCAGCGGGAGGGCACCGGCCCATTGTCCTAACGCACTCTTTACCCTGGTTGACAGGCATGCAAACGTTTGGCCGTGTTCCGTATTATCTTGTCAAGGACCTTCTGGCCAAGTGCAAGCCCGCACACGTAGGTGGTCGCAAAGATAGCAACAAAGCTGCCATGCTGGAAGCTGACGGAATTGCTGAACACTTTTGTTGTTTACCTTCACAGCTTATGCAGTTGGAAAAGACCAGTCTGGTAAGCTGGTTCTCGAGGCATGCGCTGTATGACGGGATCAGTTGGCACTTATGCTGACGGCGCTGCGGTTGGTACTCGTCCAGAACCTACTTCCCGACTCGTCGGGTATGACCCGGCTGAAGCGGCCACCGGCACCGCTGCGCACTTTCTAACGATTGGTGTTGGTCTTTCATGCAGAATTGTGGAAAGCGCATGTGTTGATGGAATGGGCAGAGGTTCGGCGAAAGTTTGAGCAAGGAATATTCGAGGAGCCGGATGACTGGCGGGAGTACTACATTGTACGTGTTCCTCATCAGCGGCCTTGTATTTTGCTGGTCTGCGAGAGCTGATGGTTACTGCCACTATTCTAGGAACACCGGGCACAGGATGCTGAAAGAATCAAACGCGTCGGTCTTGAGATGCGGCGGAACAACGCCTTGGCGGCCGCAGAAAAGGAGGCACGGCAGGTCATCAAGATTAATGGCCCGCTGGCTCTTCCCGGCCGAAATAGCAGCTCTGGCAGTGGTTGGGGCAAATCAAATAGTAAGAAATGGGGACGCAGGTTTCGGAGAGCTTATGCGCGCTGATGTGAACCTGACTGGGCTTCTCCCGCTCACTGCTAGAACGTTCCGAAAGCTCAATCATGTCAAAAGCCCGGAAAGACGCCAAAAAGCTGTAAGCCGCAGGTACTCGGTTTACTCTTCGGTGGATTCTGTGTGCTAATACCTGCTTTTCTCGGCAGATCTAAACACTTTGAGCCGGTCGCTCAGCCAGTCAAGCATCGCGCGCCGACAAACATGTCAATGGCCTCGTCTCCAAGTCCAGCCTCCTCGGGGACAAAACGCACGCAAGGGGATTCGTTTGGAGGTTCCTCATCCACTGGCCCACCCGCCGCCAAGAGAGTCAAAGCGCCGCCACCGTTCAAATCAAAGGCGATGTCTAGCCTGGTACGTGTCGTCGGACTTTGTCACTATTTCCTTCAATGACGATAATTGACTTTCTATATCTTTTTCAGGCGCGGAAAATGAGATAAATCAAGCTCAATTTCTCATTTATCTGACCTTTGTACCGTTTTGTCCGTCACACCTATTGATCTTGACATTCTTTCTGTACCTCATTTATCGCTGCCTGTGTACCTCTGCTGATTCTCCACACAAATAAAGTTGCATTACCTGCGGCACTCGCAACGCTTTGCATCATCGTTTATTGTGTTGAGGCCAACGCACAGTACTGGAAACTGTCCAAACACTGCACACACCCTACCTGTCCCCGCATTATTACAGAGCTTCCAGCAATGCGCGGTAATTTACTTTGCGCTGCTTGTCCTCGAACTGCCGCGCGAGCGTGATGACCTCCTGATAACGACGAAATCAGATTAGCGAGCACTCACAAAAAATACCAACTCGAGTGGCCGAGATTGCAAGCACAAGATACGTACGTGATCGGTAAGGTCCCGTGCCCACACAGCCCGACCAGCTTCGAGCAGCTTGAGACGGTCGCAGAAGCCAGGCTGAGCAGGGTCAGCTGCGCGGTCGCAGACGTCCTGAACGAGCTTTTTGGCGGTTGCCCCTCCACGCTGCTGGATCAGCGTTCGCGCGCGCTCAATGATTTCTTGCACGTTGCTTTGTGGGAATTGGGCTGGGTCGGACTCCATGTAGTTAAACACGTATCTGTAAGGAAGAGCAAAAGGCAATGAGAACGACATGAAATGTGAAGATACGGACATAAAACGACCAACGTACTCGTCAGCATCGAGGAGGATAAAGTCGTGGGCAAAGACCGTGACGCAGGCTCCAACAAAGAGGTTCTGCGCGTTATAGTATTGCGGTCCAGCTGGGTCCGTGAGCGAGGAGCCCGGAAGGAGGACCCTCGTGCGTTCCATAAACTTTCCTCCAATGATTCCAGCGTTCCTAAAGAAGTTCACAACGATGAGTGGCCTGTCACCTCACAGCAGAGGCGCGGAAAAAGACTTGCAGTGCTTACCTCTGCGGCGGCTCGTAAATCGTCATCATGTCGTCGGAAAGCCTATAGCTGATCACGAAGCGGCGCTCGATGTCTTCCTTGTGTTTGGATCTCTACACATACCACCGAGCTATCCATTAGCCACGCTCATTCACTCTGGACCTCATGCTGTCGACCTACCATTTTCGCCACAAACCGTAACACCTTGTGCTCATTCTCAAGCATCTTAATGAAGTCCTTCTTGGGCGGCTTGAGAACCAA